GCAAACGAATATCACATTTAATAATCCGTGTTGTTGTTGAAATTCTGAAATTTCCAACAATGAAATTTGTCCCAATTCATCGGTTGCAAGCTATCATTGATATCCTCCCAGAAGGGAATGCTCTTTGTCGCGTGCGCATCGATATCGATCTCGAGCAGAAGAGAAGATAATCGAGATAAGTAAGGGGATTAAAAGAGTCTCGACATCTCGATGCACCAGACGAATGTATCTTTTATCCTTTCCACGATTGCGGCCATCAATTGCGGGAAAACATGTGTCGCTGAGGGATGGTAAACGCTGTAGATACCTAGAAAGGGGAAAAAACAGGAGAGAAAAACGGCATGTCTCTCTAATTCCCGGTTGGAATCTCAGTCAACAGTCGTCATTGTTTGCCCATCCTCTCTCTCTCTCTCTCTCTGTCTCTCTCTGTCTCTCGTATCCACCCTCGGGCGATATTAAAATCTTCCACGTGCTTGACAGGGAGGGGAGGGGAGGGTTGGCGAGTCCATGGTATCACGACCACAATGCGTGCACGTCGCACGGTATATAACTCGGTTGCAACGTCGTGTGTCGACACGCGACATTCGACAATGGTTCAACGTATGGATCCGAGTTGGGTACAGTATCTTTGGAAAGTGCTGAGCTATCGAATCGAGGAGAAAAAGAAAAGGATTTCTCTCTGCGATTTTTTTTTTTTTTTTATTTACTTTTTAAAGTGATTGCGATCGGTAAATCGAGGATTTTTATTCTTTAAGATTCGATCGATATTAATCTTTCTATCAAGATGAACAATTTCATTCCAGAGAGAGAGAGAGAGAGAGAGGGAGAGAGAGAAAGAGAGAGAGAGAGATAACACGTTTTGGTAATGGAAGTTTTTTTAGAAATTTCTGGGGATCGAATCTGAATATGAATTAATAAAATTGGAAATTAATTGTTATCGGTTCCACCAATTAATAAATTGTCAATTTGATCAAATTTATACATCGTTTATATCGATCGCAATGATTATGTACGTTAGTGTACGTTCAACCGATGGTATTGGTATTCCTGGTCATGTATCCGCCCACGTGAACACGTATCTATACACGCATACACGCACACGCGCGCAAGTTCATTCGATTGTACGCATTCACGTTGTGAAACAATAGTCTCGAGTTCGTCCCTTTCCCGATATATCCCCCTCCTCCCTCTACCCCTTCCCTCTGTCAATTTCTCTTTCATTTCTTCCATTGCTCCCTTCCCGACGCTTCTCATGCAAATGGTACGGTCTTTGCCTGGTCCATTATTATTATTTTTTTTTTCCCCCTGTTTTCTTATCTCTTTACACGGACTTTTCATTCCTTTCTTACTCGCCAACCTCCACGATTATCCCGACTCTGCCCCAGTTTTCGTCCTCTTCTTCGCGCCTTATTTCTTCACGTAGTTATATTTCTTCTCGCGTAATTTTATTCTTTGTTTTTTTTTTTTTTTCTTCATCTCAGCCAATGGTGAAAAATGTATCGTGAAATATCTGATGCGGTTTGAATCATTTTATATTAACAGTCAGATAGTTTAAATAAATATCTGGAATATTAGCATATTAAATTACTTGATAGTTAAATTATGATTTATATTTGTTCGAATCATTCTACGAAAAATTTTGCAAAAGTATCTCAATACAACTATCTCCAAATCTCCTTTAAAAAAAATTTGCTCCATTCCCCGTCATCCCTCATATTCTCTGCCCTCGTTCATCTCTCTTTCGAAATCTTTTCAAGACGAATATCGGTTAAAATCCATCGTCTAATTGTATGGAAAACGTATATACAAATTTTATTCTCTGCTTCTTTTTTTTTTCTTTCCATTGATCTCAGCCGATGAAAAATTTATCGTGAAATATCTGTTGCGGTTGGAATTATTTTATTTACTCAAACAAAACTTCGTAAATAAATAAACCTGGACTATCAATAATTAAATTACTTATGAATATTCGTTCGAATCATTCTACGAAAAATTGTTCAAAAGTATCTCAACGCAATTACCTCCAAATCTCCTTTTTAAACAAAGAGACTTACCCCATTCCTCTCTCTCTCTCTCTCTCTCTTTCTCTCTCTCTCTCTCTCTTTCTCCATCTTCCTTCCTCCCTCTCTCTCTCTCTTTCTATCTCGAAATCGTTTCAAGACGAATGTCGGTTAAAACCCATCGTCTAATTGTATAGAAAACGTATNCTCTTCCTTCCTCCCTCTCTTTTTCTTTCTATCTCGAAATCGTTTCAAGACGAATGTCGGTTAAAACCTATCGTCTAATTGTATAGAAAACGTATATACAAATTTTATTCTCTGCTTCTTTTTTAAATTACTTAAAATTACTTAAAATTTTTTAAATTACTTATGAATATTCGTTCGAATCATTCTACGAAAAATTGTACAAAAGTATCTCAATACAACTATCTCCAAATCTCCTTTTTAAACAAAGAGACTTACCCCATTCCCTCCTCTCTCTCTCTCTCTCTCTCTCTTTCTCCATCTCCATCTTCCTTCCTCCCTCTCTCCCTCTCTCTCTCTTTCTATCTCGAAATCGTTTCAAGACGAATGTCGGTTAAAACGCACCGTCTAATTGTGCGGAAAACGAGGCGTGTGTACGAGTATATAGAATCTTCTCGCCCGAAGCGACAAGGTAACGGGGTTACGCTTGTGTGCACCTTTCTTGAATACACCGTTCGCCATTTATACACCGCCCGTGCGGAGGCGGCACGGGAAGAAAGATCACAGTCTGCCGGTCGTTAGCCGGCAGACAAAACAATCCGTGCCGTGGATGGATGCTTTCCATTGCGAGCGGGAGGGAAAGGTTTGCTGCATGCAGATACAGCACTAGCTTGTCTTTCACGCGACATACGCGTATACGACGAGAGATGGGACATTAATTAGAAGGGGGTGATTTGAATCGGTTGGTTAATAATAAGGATCCCTTTCTAAACATCTCGTTTTCTATACGCTTTCGGTTATTTCCATATTGCTGGTGGCTGGTTACAGGATCGATGACATTCGAGGATTGGAAATGTATCACGGATACATGTGTATATATATATATTTTTTTTTTCTTTTATATTCAAATGAGGACAAGCCAACGGTTAGTAATTAGTAAGAGCAGGGATTTTTCGAGGCTTTTTTTGTTTTTGTTTTTGTTTTTTTTTTTTTCTAATTTCAATTAATATTTTAAAGGGATATTTTAATGTGGGTATGGAAAGGATGTTTAAACGAGAATGGGAATAGCTATGAATGAATATTGGAGATGAAAACTTAATTTTTAGATTCGTCATATTCGGATATCCGATATTTTCGAAATCCTTTTTTTTTTTTATATCGTGATCGACCACTGGAAAAAAATAGCCCAAATTTTAATCATCAATTATATTTGAATCGTAATAATTTACATATAACTTACGTGATAGTTGTACCTGAGTTCTAATTTTCTATCTGAAAAATATCTTTTTCCAATATTTTCGAGAATTATGTATAAGGAAATATTTCACATCCCATGAAATGTTATAAATTTTTCTTGGCGGTGAATTAGCTATGTATCCCATTCCGTATAAAATATATCAGCCTTTGTACGTGATGTATAGAATCTATATATTGTATTCGTGGAAATTCAACCAATTTACCGGAGTTAATCTGCATGAATAGTTGCTTTTTAAATAGGTGTTTCATTCGCGGCTAGAATGGTAACCTGGAATAGAGCCAGCCGATTGTTACACACTAATTTTATTCTCGTTAGCGCAGGAGTTCATGGAATATAATTTTTTTATTACATTTTATATCCTTCGACCCGTGAAAAATTTTCGATAATCGCTTCGCGTTACCTCGAAGCTTCTTTGTAATTTTTTGATGCGAACTATCGTCGATTAATTATCGAGATCGATGTGACGAAGCACGAACATGTTATTTTTTTCTAAAGCATGTTGCTTTTTGTAAATTCTTATTTATTTTCACGTAATATGTATTCAATGTACTAGGATTTGAATGAAAAATGTATATGTGCAAGATAAATATTTAAAAAAAATAATAAATTTTCATTTAGATTTACATTACTTTTTCGAATTTGAATTTATTTAAATTTGAATATGATATAATGAATATGATAATTTATATAAATTTGAATTTATTATTATTTGAATATGAATTTATACGACCATCTGTAGTCCAGTTGTTCGATTTACAATTAATTTGAACTTTAATAAAATAGATTTCTATGATACAGAAAATATGGTAGATAATTGCGAATATTAATTCCTCTAAATTAATTTTTAATCTCGTGCCAAGAGAACTTTCTACGTGTTAAACGACCTAGTTAACAGGTTAATTCTCTCGAGCTTGAGATAATAATGAAATTAAAAAAAAAAAAAAAAAAACAGATTCCCAGAAGTAGGAACATTTTGAAATCTCTATAATCTTAGTTTCAGATAAAGCTCGATTTTTATTTTCTTCAATTTTGGAAAGAACTGACGTTAATTCTAATTTTTTAATTACTGACTCATATTAATTTCTTTTTACCTTGCACACATTGCATACGTTGTCGTGGCAGTTGAATAAAAATAACTTGTTCCAAATAGTTCAACTCTTCTCGTGTATCTATCCTTATTTAATCCTCATTAATATTATACAATTTAGAAATGGCAATTTTTCTAAAATTTGCTGAAATATTAACAAACCAAGATCGAATTTTAATAAATATCTTGCAATATCAAAAAATAATTAATTCCTAGAATTAACCATCTTATATTTTTCTTCAAAGATATCCACCAAATACCAAAGAAAAGTATCTCAAAATTTAGTATTAACTTAAATCTACCTGAAATATTTAAAAATCAATTTTAATGAACATTTCACAAAACATACTATGAAATATTGAATTTATCGTGAGAAAAACTCACCTTTCCTCTGATTTAATTATTTAACGTCTCTCAAAATTGCAATTGATTTTCCCATTTTCAACTCGTTTCCTCCCTTTCGTTCTTTCAGATTTCCACGTTAGTGTCGCACAGAGAACGTCCGCTATGTTCGGACAGAAGTCTCCGTGCTGTTGCCAGAGTCGGGCAAGCGGTGAATCTGGCTGTGGAGAGGTTCGTCACCGTTGGCGAAACGATCGCGGATGGAAATCCAGAGATCAGGGACGACATGTACCAGGCGTGCAAGAGGGCAAGAGATGCTGGTGAGTTCACATTGTTCCAACTGTAAATTATGCAAACTATTTGTCGGGTTCAAGGGGATTTAACAAGTTGTGAGACGATTCATTATTGCCTCAATTATCTCTCCGATGTTTTATTACAGAGGAATATTCGATTCCAGTTCTAAACGCGATGGATTTTGTGAGGACTGTTGTAAAATGTTATAAAATTTATCTCGATGTTTTACTGTGCAGATTATGCAGATTCTTATTGATATTTTATCGAAAAGTTGAAGATATACATACTTTTTTTTTTCAAATATTCTTATATGCAACATTAATTAAAACACATCTCTTTTGAAAATTTACATCGAAAGATGTATCTCGTCGAGGATAATTCTCGAAAAGGAAAAATGATTAATGGTAACTAGTCGTTCGTGAATTTTCGTAAAAAAAGAAAAAAGAAAGAAGAAAGAAACATCGTTAAGCAAATAGAGGTGTTCTAAAAAGCCGTGCGAAGATTGTAAAGCGGCTCGAAAGATATAAAGACGTTTGTCACGAGTTGTCGCTTCTAAAAGCTGAAAGGATATCTCTCAGCAGGTATTCATGCCAACGGTGACATTCAGAGAAATGTACTCATTGTTACTTCCAACAAGTTTTACTCGTGCTTGACTTCGCCTTGCTCTCTTGACAGTTAAGAGTTGGTATCAATACCGGTTACAGCGGTTCTGCTCTACTGGAAATAAAATCTTTGATACAAACCCGCCATCTCGAAAAATCTCTCTCTTTCTGTCAACCATCCATTTATCCTCGAATAATTCTTTGCGACAATTTTGGAAAATTCGTAGTAATTTTGTCAACACTTGAGTTGACATCGATCGTTTAATGACACTATTTGAATAACAATTGAACTGTGAATTTTCCAACAAATCGACTAAAATAACAATTGTCGCGTAACGATCCATCTCGAAACTTGATTAAAAGCGTATTAAAATTACCAAAACTTCGAACCGTTTTAAATCCAAAAATAATGATTTCCGGCCAACGAATGAACGATCATTAAAAGCGTGGAACTTTCCCCTTTAAAATGCTCTCTCGTTTATTTCAATACGACTTTCGATTCGCGAAATATCATCGTGTAAAGAGCATCGTAAATTTATTTATTTACCGTTAAACCCTACTAAAATTGAGAAAACTTTGAACCGCTATAACTCTGAAGATAATGACTTCCGGCCATCAAGTGAAAGATCGTTAGAAGCGCAGAACCTTCCTCTTTAAAACGCTTTTTCGTTTATCTCGATACGACTTCCGCTTGCCGAGATATCGTCGTTTAAAGAGAAGAGTAATTTTTTTAATCGTTTACTATCTCCATCTTTGTCCCTTACTCTCGCTGACCTAAACTCCAGATAAGTGATAGACATTATTCCTGGAAAAAAACATAATACGCATGGGAAAAAATATATAATATAGGTCACAGAGTTGCGAGTCCATTCATAATTTCTGCACTATTTTAAGGATACTTTGAGTCCTTGTATCTCTGCAATTAATTGAGATATCGGGATGAAAGAAAAAGGATAATAACATAGTTTAATAGCATAATTTTTCTGAGTGGGTTTTGATAACAAAATTTTTAATTCCTTGTTTTTTTATATGAAATGTTAAAGTTTGTAACTTTTCATCAATGATGTGTTATTGTGATATAAGATATATGTTTCACGTGTTATGATCTATTTTCAATATGTTTGAACATATTTAGATGAAAATCCGCAGTCTCAAAGGAGATTTTTTTTATATTTTACGAGAGAAAAGTTTTAAATTTGTCGAGTTATTTCTCCATAGCGAAATATGATTGAAACGGTTAGTATATTTTGAAAGCTATCAAATTTTTCATTTTTCTCTTCGACATTTGACATCGAAATGTACCATTTCTATGCCAGGACGATATATAGAGACAAAAATGGATCTTTCTCGATCTTTTTCTCATATCTGATTCTTTAGATTTCAATTCTATGAATGTGCAATTGAAAAATTATAAATTCTTTCTATTTTTAAACTTTTCGAATTCTTGAATTTATCTAATCTTATTTTTAAAATCTCAAACACATTCAACAAACTCGTTTCAAACGCAAAATTGGTATTGAAATTGATGAAGTTATTTATTCCGAGTAAAAAATATTAGAGAAACAATAATGAGAAACAGAGAGCAGGTGAAAATGATTGCGTAACTTTTGTAAAACTGAAACCTGCTAAAAGATATATTTTGCTACACGGATGCAAAAGGGAGCAGACATTTGTGTCATCTCTCATTAAAACTTTGAGTTTAATACTTGCAAACATTAGATCATAACGATGATAATATTCGTAATCTCTAAAAGTTTGCCTAAACAAAGCGTGAGAATTTGAAATTGTAACTATAAATTCAACAATTAAATATAAACTTAATAATTAAAGCTGATACTTTTCAGTAAAAAGTATAATTTATACGTACACCCTGTCACGAACTCTATATCTGTTTCTCTCTCTTTCTCTCTCTCTCTCTCTCTCTCTGTCCAATGTTTGTTTTCGATGAAACTTTTTTATCGATTGAACGAAGTTGCACATGATATCGATGAACTGATACAACCTAAAAAAAAAAATAAAAAAAATAAATCAATGTAATAAAACGAATGAAACGTGATGAACAACGCGTTTTTCTCGTATGAAGTTTTATGAACGTTTCTATGATTCGAAAAAATTTTATTATATTCTTTATATTATAAAAATTATTTCTTGGGAAATTTTTTTAATAATTTCTTTAATAAAATCAGGAGACTTTCTTCCAGGTTTTAATATAATAATATTTTATTTCGAATCTCCTTAAACGCGTTAAATAATTTTTACGAGTTTGAGATAAAATTTAATAACACTTTAGATTAATAAAAAGTCTTTACTGATTTATAATCTTTTATGGCCTCGAGATAAAATTTGAGAGCACTTTATGCCACTGCCACGTTTGCCACTTTATAAATGGTACAAAGATTATATATTGGCTATATCGACTGCTGATTTTATTCCTCGTATTGCATCATCAATCATCCAGTTTATCGATATCCTTCACAAGAGAATCAAACTTTCAATTCCAAAATGCTGCACACACAATTATCTTCGATGATAACTTTTTTCTAAATTTTCTTAATCCTTTCATAAATCAAACTTTACAATAAATATTTACCATGTTTTAATGTTCTTAATCATATATCATAGATCAAACATTCCAACTTCAAAATACTCCACGCAATTTTCTTCGATAATAACTTTTTTTCTAAATTTTCTTAATTCCATCATAGACGAAACGTTGCTTCAAAATTACTCTTTCTTCGAAACTTTCGAAACCCTAAAAAAAAAAAAAAAAAAAAAAATATTAAAAAGAATTGTCATAATTTCAACTCGTCGACGTGATTTCATCATCCTTCTGGCCTTTCCCCCCCGATTCTCGCGTCGTGGATCGCGTCTGAACAAAAACATTTCTCCCAGATCTACAATACGCACGAAGGAGAACGCCTCCGGCTGAAAGCTTCGAGCTTCCTCGTTGAGAGGATATAAATGCAAACTCTCGTATGCAACTCTGCGGGAAGCAGGGTGGTAAGAATACGCGCGGAGAAGCGAGGGACGGGGAGGGGATACGCGGTGGTACGCGCTTAGGGCGAAACAATCCTCTGAAAAGCACCTCGCAACGTATCCGTCCTCCTCGGTTTGATTCATCGAGCCCCTTTCCCTATATACGAGTCGCGGGACGACAATGACAATGGCCGAGCAAAAACCGTGGTCCAAAATTTTCCCTCCGGCTATTTTATCGACGGTGATAAAATTTGATCGCGTGCATCGCTCGATGATGCATTGTGCTCGATGCGCGCAAAGTTTTTTTCGGATGAGAATTAGATTAGGAACGAAGGATTTTATTTTTGGGAGGATGGAGTCAGGATTATTAGAGGTTATATCCAATTTTCAAATTGGAATTGTTTGCAATCGTTTGGAATTGTTTGGTAAAATTTTGGGAGAAATGGAGATTTAAGCGTTTACACGTGGCTTAGGGATTATTTTAGGAGGATGGAGTCAGTGTATTATTACGTTACGTTATTGAAATCCAGTTTGGAAATTGGAATTGTTTGCGGTTGTTTGGCGATGTATAATGCTTCCGCGCAATTTTCTTCGATTCAACAACTTTCGAAACGTTGGAAACGAGAGAAACAAAACGTTAAAAATCCGGAAAAGAATTTTCATAATTGTGTTTCATGCGGGAAATGGAAATTTTGAATCAGAAATTTTAAATATTACGTGTCCATTTTTAACGTCCACGTGTAAATTTCTTTAAATATTGAATTTTAAAATGAAATGTTTATTCAATTATTTTTTTGCTCAGCATTAATCAAAGGATAAAAAAAGTAGCAGATAAAATTGTTTGAAAATTACACCAGATTTGTCTGTTTTTTTTTTTTTTTTTTTTTTTTTTTTTTTTTTTTTTTTTTACAACTAACAATCGAATTAACAAGAAAATCAGCGAAAGAAATTCGTATAAGCTGAAAAAACGATTCCAATTCCATTTGGTCGACAATTTTCATCGCGAACAAATGAATTGTTTAATCAAAATCTCCGCGGCTGGAGGAAAAAAAAAACCAGGATTTTTACCAGGAAAAAAAACAGAATATTTCTAGGGATTTAAAAAAATTCCCGATTCGAAGTACCAGCGACACGATGTTAAATTCAAATACGGATGTGTTTCACGTGGAGAGAGAACATTTGCCACGTTGAATGTTCCCTGTTGGTGGTAACATCGAAAAAAAACTCGAATAAACTCGTGTGATCGTGTCCTTTGTTTCGTCTCGAATAAATTTCGTTTTGAATAATCCACGTGATAAATCATATATTTCTCGGTCGCGTTTTCTTTTTTTCATTTCTTCCACCTTGTGTGTGAATGCGAGAAAAAAAATATATAAATATATATATTTATATATATCTCGAAATGGCCGGTGGTACGCGATGACCCATATTCCAACTTGGTCCTTGAA